TTATGAGAGGCAGAATTTGTATAGCGGAAGGCACAAGGGACCCCCCTCCTCAAACACCTTGGCTCGCCAGGGCAGCGAGGCGGGAGTCCGGCCACTCACTCTTTGCCGTAACTCGCCGTCCAATTTCCACTTGCCGAGGTGACTCCGTAAATCCTCGGCGGAAGATCCCAAGCTGATGTCTGTGGGTGTGGAGAAAGAATGACACCAATCTAACACCCAGCAAGACAACAGTTCCATGAAGTAACAACTTTAAACATTTGGTCTAGTTACTGCTTTGCTCGGGCTATACATTCTCCCCCCCCCCCCCCGTGCTGTTTTTCTAGTACCCATTTTGTTCCTACCCTAGGACTGTGTGTGGGGGAAACTTGCCCCCCCCCCCCGACATAAGGGGCAGGATCCTGACACCCTTTAAAAGGCAAAAAAGAAGACTGGGAATCCAGTGGTCAAGGTGACTTGGAGTGGATTGCTATCTGTTCTAGGCAATCAGTTACGGCCAAGTAATTTTCTCATTACAATGGTGCCTTTCCTCTCCCACCTTAGGCACGTATATGGGTGTCAGGAGGATTGTGTGAACCAGTACATTAATTGGCAACAGAAGCGGACACACTCCCCCCCTTGAATGCACTCTCGAGTAAATGTGGTATCGATCCATTCACTATCCCGCCACCTGCCGCCAGCCAGCGCCCTCGCCCGAGCGCCCGCTCCCAAGGCTCCCCGCGCCCTGCCCGCGTGCGCGTGCAGAAGGCAAGGCGAGGGGCTGCGCCCCCTCTGCCGCGCTCGCCGTCGGCCTGGCCGCGGGGATCAGCGCCGACTCCGTGTTACCAGGCGTCGCAGGACGGGAAACAGGGCACCGATCCGTGCCAAGAGCTGGTGGAGTTGCCCTGTTGGAGGCATACGAAGCGAGGAAGCAGCCCTGCTCTAGGCAAAAACAGTGGCGGGTGCCAAACAGGCTGAGATCTTACTCCCTATGGCATGATTGGCTATGACCACGCCGCCTTTTCTGACCCTGTTTTTTCAGCTAGTCCAAGGAACAGGGTGGCCCGCTCTTTTTCGCGAGGGCAGCAGAGGGCTGCGACCCGGCCGGATCAGAAACCAGCCTGGGCTCGGTGAGGCGGGTCTTCAGGTTACCAGTTCGGGGCTTCACCTAGAGAGCTGATTGACGGCAGCTGCGGCGCAGGCAATCTTCTCCCCAGACCAGGCAAACGGGGTTAAATTCCAGCTTGGCGTTACGTGCTCTTGTCTTTCCGGGTAGCTTTTGGCAGCATTTGAGGCAGCAGCTTGTTGAACTGCAAAGAAGGTAAAAGATGCTACTAGTAAGAAGGGGGTGCTTGGAGTGGTGAGCAGACGGACGGACCTGATGTGATTGTTGAGACAGGATAAACGTGAAGACACTGAGTGGGCTTCTGACAGAAGGCAGTCTCGGTTTTTATGCTTCCAAGAGAGCGCGTGCACGCCAACTTTTCTCTAAGTCTTTTCCCACAACCTTGAGGGCTAGAAACGTTTTCTTAAAAATGCGTTTGTGGGAGGAGAGGAAAGAGCTCGAGAACACTCGCAAGATTTCATGCAGCAAAGTTGCCCATGCACAGCGTTCCTTCCCCATTGCAGGCAAAAAAGCTGAACAGTTGCGCACGTGCCAAGGTTTAGTGTGAAAGTCTCCCGTTCAAGTTTCGTCTTTGCCATGAACTTACTTGGTGGCCTTAGGTGAGCCACCGTCAGCCTCAGTTCCCTCGGTCCCATTTGCAGCATGGGGATAATTTCGAATTATTTCCCACGGTTATTGATCTGACGCATTTTGGATACTTAAAAAGCTGTGCAAGTGTTCTTAGAACGCGGGAGTCCGTGAGATGCTCAGAAGGGTTCGCTTTCTCTTGGCTTTCAGCGAAGCTGTTTCTGGTTGGTATTTTCAGACCTCTTGTGTTTCTGGAATGTACGACCAGCTAGACCCGCGTGTAAAAGAGGCGCGTGAAGCGCTGCGTTGTCCTGGGAACGTGCTGCAGCTCCTGACTAGGGGTGCTGAATTCACGTGTAAAATATATCGCGCAACCGTCGCGTGGGTAGCGACTGTGTCTGAAAGGGCTGCAAGCATGAGCGGCAGACGGGCCGGTGGCTCCTGCCCAGGTACGTCCCAAGGTGGTGCCGCGCGCTGCACCCAGGCGCACCCGCGTGAACGCGACCTCCGGCGGGGAGGGAGACTGGCGCTTTGCGGAGCGGCTGCGGGAGACGTCCGCCCACGGTGGTGCATTTAGGTAATCTGGCCTAATGGCTTTTTATGGAGACGCAGATAGGTTATGACATGCTTCACTTAACTGCGGTAAACCAGCCGTGTGTGTGTGTGTGTGGGGGGGGTGCTTTTGCTTACTCCCTTGAGTGGCGTTCCGGACCTCTCTCCCAACCTTTCGCCCTGGTGGCACTGTTGTTCCGCCGATGCAGACCCGAAGAGGACGGAGAAAACCCCGCGCTGAGCCCGCTCAAGAGGAGTTCCTCTTCGTGGAGGTCTTGGCGGGAAAAGCGAAGAGCGCGTCCGGAGTCAGGCGGCGGTGCGGCTGCTGAGCAGGCGCACTTCACGCCCAAGGAAAGGCCGGCGGCTCATTATTTCTAACCAGCGGATCCCGGGCGTCGTGAGCCGCCTTCCTCTGCTTAAAGGCACTGGGCTAGAGCAGGCGGGGGAAGAATCCGCTGCGCAGTGCGAGAAACCTACCCAGCTTCCCGGCGAGCCGCGCCGCCTGCCAGCGGCCTCCCGGTGGCCGCTGCGCTCAAGCGGCGCGAAACTTCGCCGCCCACTTGCGAACGAGCCAGTCGCCCGGCTGCTCAAGCCTTGGCGGCAGCGGCCGAATGGAAGCCCTCGCAGGCGCCGGGCTGGTCCCCGGGAACGGGTTTGGGGCGGGGGGGGGGGGGGAGACGTAAGGGCGGGTGGGAGTCAGGGAGAGTGCTTTGGACCCTTGAGCTTCTGGAAGCGGGAGGGATGCCTCACTGTGGCCCTCCGGTGAAGGACAAGAGGCTGTGCTAGCCACGGTTCATCAAACTCTTCTTCAAAATAAGCACGTGCCTAAAAGGGGGGCGTTGTCTTTTCTAGAACCGCTTGGCCCACTGTCCCACTTCTGCTCTGCCTTCAGGTCTTTGTAGACTTCCATGTTGTTCCTGGGATGCTTTATTAGCACACGGCTAAGGGCTGGGGTTAAATGCCTTGTGTCTTGCTGCCTCCCCACCATTGCAATGGGCTTCCAGAAAGGTCTGCCTGGCGCAGTCACTGCTTTCAGTTCCGCACCAGGTGAAAGCTGTCCTCTTCTGCAGGTATTTTGAGAACTGACTTTACTACTCCTACCAGCAACCCCCCCCCGCCCTTCCCCACACCGTATTTATAATTGCACTGTAGGCCTGTATTTTAGTGTTAGCTGCTTAGGGCTAATCAGCTGCCTTGAAAATAAATAAATAAAGCTGTACTGTTGACAATCCCTATGTATGCCCTGATAGATTTTCCTAGGCTCATTTTTAGAGACCTTACTTTGCTTTACACCATTCAACATCTTGTTTCAAAATCCAGATCAGGCATTAGAGAGGTTTGAATTAAGCTTAAATTACTTTTTAGTTGCTATGTAGCAAATTCAGGTCTTGTAGTTCACTGTCACATTACTTTGGGGAACATGCAAGGCTGCTTTGATTGAGAAAGTGGCTGCAGAATATCCACACCTTTCTTGCACTGTGCTTTTATTTTATGGAAATAAAAATTTATTTCCAGACATATGTTGCTGTTGCACAAACCAGAGAGAGATATCTTGTATCACTCTAGTTCCATGCAGTTTTTTCTTTCGAAATGCTAATCAAAATTGACCTATTCCCATTGTCGAAAGTCTACTGATATGTGTACATATTGCATTGTTTTGATATCCAGATGTGATATGACTTTTATTCAGAAATAAATTCCAAAAGAAATTTCATAAAGGTAAGAGACAACCACCCTGACAGAATGTTCAAAACATCATGAAATGTAACATTGCACAAAAGTATTAACAATGTAACACTGATAGTACAACATCATACTGGAGAAAAATGAACAGGCATGTGCTACAAATATAGTAAAGGGGCTAGAAATATTCCAAATATAGCTAGCTTACAGACTGCTGTACAAAAAGTTATTATAAATACTCCACATCTAGAAAAAATACACTCCACTTTTGAAATAGATTTTTCTCTTACATATAAACAGTCTTTGTAGGACCTCTCCCACCTCCCACCAACACACACAAATTTATTTGCTAGCACCATTTTTTTCTTTTTAAAAATTTTAAAGTGTAGGGTACAAATCTAAATTGCTTTTCATTATTTCCAGATTAACAGAGTTAAGATGAAAATGAGAGAAGTTAAATCAACACAACTGGTACTCATGATAAAAGCTACATATAAATGGAAAGTAGGCTATCACTTGGATGTTTTGATCAAATAGAGTACATAGAGAAACTTTGTCTCAAAATTGCACATATATATATATATATATAGAAAATGTATGTTGCACAATGTGGTCCAAAGAGATTTATTATAGACAATTTGGCAAACTCAAATTTGCATTAAAAGCAGTGTTTCTACATACAGTTTTAAGACTAGAATGTTTATAAATCTTTATTTTATGAAAAAATACTAACTTTGTTAATATTAACATCAGTGTTTAAAGTTAGTAAACTGCCATATCAGGAGCATGGCACCAATTAGTACTTATTGCTGTCATGTTTTCTAGAAATATAATTTTTCCCTGACCCTGGCCAAGAACATTTTTTACAACTCCTGTACAAATATTTATAAAAGTGCAAAATTAAGACTTTTAAAAGTAACAACTGCGTTGTCGATGTTGAACTTCCAGTCTTTCTATTATAATGCAGTTTCTTCCTCTTTATTGCTCTGGATGAACACATCTGAAAATACCGTATTAGGAGTCTTGCCAACTTACTTTGAATACTTCTAGTTCCTCTTTCTTGTTTATTTAGCCTTCTATTCCTTACGTGCTTCACTCAGTGCTCACTACTTTAGAGTGTCTTTATACATCATTTGAGCCTTGGCTTGCACAGGATGAGAAGCTATCATACAAAGAATCACTCAAGGATTCTAAGTGGCCTATGCCATGGCTATTGGAACTATTTAGAGCAACTCCTTCATTCTTCCCATTTTGTCGCTCTTCAACCTTGTTCAGACAGTTCTTCTCTTTTTCCAATAAAATGGTTGTACTGCTATTAAATTTATTGAGAGACTCCAGGGAAATTTTAGATAACCTCTTCTTAGAATCATCCTTTGTTTCTTCAGGTTGCTTCAATTTCTGTAACAATTTAAGAGGAGGGGCAGGAATTAGAAATACACTACTTATAAAACAGAAATAGTTATTCGCTGTAAACAGTCAATTACTGTCTGTCCAAAATTCACAGTAGAAAAGGAATAGATTGTTAAATACTTTTGTGCTTAATCCTTCATTATAATTAAATGCAATAATAAAGTCCATTTTGAGATAATTCATAGCTTTAAAGATTCTGCTCAGGCAAATAGGACCCAATTTGCAAAATAGTTAAGTGCAATTTACATTTTAAGCAGCTGATTTTGGAATCTGTATGTGTAAAGTATCATTACTTGCTCCAGAGTAATTTACAGTTTCTGTTCCTCAGGAATTATTAAGGAAAACGGAATATTCTTCCAAGAAATAGGCTCAATTATTTCATGTGGATTGCACTGCAACTCTATCTTGTCTAGGTGGCCACAATTACAGAGATAGAATAGGATGCAATACAGAAGAAGACAGATATGGTTAAGTTGTAGTAAAACAATTGAGGCTTTTGTGTATCAGAAAATGGTCAAGCCCCACTGATTTCAATGCTCCTTAAGTGTACTTAACTTCTGTCCGAATTCTGGCTTTATTTTTGTTGAACCAAAATTTCAGCACAAGATTTGAAATGCTACTGATTCCTTCACCTTACTTTTATTATTTGGTGGGACTACAGATAACTTTATTGTGCAAACTAAAGATACAATATTCTACTAGTTTAAAAGGAGAATACTGGTATATGTAATGCTTACACATGGAATTAAACAGTATACGTCCAACCACTGTCATCGGAAGAAAAATGATGACAATCAGATTAATGTAATACTTGTTTTAATAATATGTATAATTAGAACTTTGCTAAGGTAGAGATAGGGAAACAGGAAAGAGCCCAAATTGCTTCATATGTATTTAAAAAATATGAGAATGTTCTATATAAAGGAGACAATGAAATTTGCTAGAAAATAACTTAACATGTGCATGAACTTATTGATTTTCATGCACCCAACATCTAATAAAAATGAAAGCAACAAGAGAAGAAATTACACTGAACTGGTCTATTCACTCAGACCAGAATCAATCAGATATTGGCTAGGTCTAGTCAAGCAAGTGAGGAAACTACAGAAAACAAAGCAGTAGACATTGTATCTGCACATTATATTAAATAAATACACTGCCTGATTGTACAATGCTAATTTTACCTCTTTATTTGAAGAATACTTTTAGCAACTGTTTTAGTAAGGCATTCAGTAAAAATAAATGCCATTTTACAGCTGTTTTCCCCTTTTTATCTTATGTCTCCATTTCTTGTTCCAGATAAATCATCAAAAATATGCTAACATTGAAAATATTAGTGGCTTAACATATATTCAAAGTTTCTGCAGCATCCATTGTTAAATGAGCTGTGGTACTCACATAGAAAAAGTACACTCATTCCTTATTTTCAGTATTAGTACCAGGCAGAAATGAACAGATCAATAAACTATTGGCATTCCAAGAACAAACATTGCTACTTTGTGTTTTGATGGCAAGTGAAATGGCTGATTTAGGATCACCCAAGAATCTAATATAGAAAATATTGCAAGGAAGAAAAAAATTGCAGGAATGGAGCACTGTGAAGATTAAGTGGTTCATATCAGAAGAGTTTAGGCTTCTGTTTCAATACACTAGTAAACCAAAGCATGACATACTGCTCATGATTGTATGTGACCTTTTTGCAAGACACAGTGCTAGTCTTACATTTGGGGCCAGTCTTTAAACCAGCTGAGACTGATTAGGGATGCAAATAACTTTAGGTCTAACTAGGGTTAAAATTCTCTAGATTCCATTTGCCAGAAGCAGATGGATCTGTGTTTGCTACAAACTATATCATCTATACATGGCTATTCCATTATGAGAGTAAGGTAAGCCAACTGAAACCCAAGTCCTGCATTTATTGATCCAAACCAGCCTTTAATAAATACTTCATGGAAATAAGTGTCACTGAAATCAGTGGGCTGCCAGATGACGTTATGACCCAAGAAGGACATGTTCCCATGCATGAGTGCAAGTGCTAGTGTTGAACCCTTTCAGCTGTAACAATCTGTGTGCGATGGAGTGTATGAAGCATGTTCCTGTTGGAAAGAAAATAGGGATCTTCAACATATGTAATACTCAGTTCGTGTCCAATGCATTTAGGTTCCTGTTTGATTAGTAGTCTAATCCAGTTCAGATTAGGGAACTACACAATTGATCAGGCTCAACTGGAAGATTGGCAAGGACATTGTTGAGGTTTAACAGGTACTGTAGTAAACTTTCCCAATACTGAAAAGCCAAAATAGTTTCTTGAAACTATGCCAAAGCCTTATGACCTTCAGCTTGCTAAGAAGAGCACCAGAGATAACGACCTTGAAGTTCCCTTCCTTCGATCGTTTTGTAATAAGGAATGCCTTTGCAGTGAAAACCAAGCAGTTCAGCTTACCAAAAGAGTTTCATTCCTAGCAAGGGAGAGGGAGACTTGGTGCAACCTGAAAAGCACTGCAATAGTGAAAGAGAGGAACCTTATCAAATCCAGGGCAAGCGGCAATGTCTTTTTTTCTCAGCCAAGCTGCGTATACGTGAGTGGAATTGATGCACTGCTTTCCCGGGTGCCTTTGGAGGTACATAGAGAGCACCCTGGACTATTCAGAGAACTGACAGGCCACAGAGAATTCAGGCACTATTTTACTTATTGATTAATATTCTATTCTGCATCTCTGTTTCATCACTGTACTCAATAAACTACATCCTGTTTGACACAGGTGCTTTTGTGTATCCTTGAACCAAAAATAGGGTGCTTTGGCTGCATCATGCCCTCATGGTCCAAGCACACATATTCTGGGTTCAACTCGACCCCTATGAAGGCATTCACTTGCTTGTATAGGGCAACAACGAGGAAGGAGAGAGAGGCATGCATATTAGTCCCCATGGATCCAGCTGCCTGTTGGGTCTAAGTGTCTGAAAAGGCATCTGTAAATATATTTAGCTAAATGTACTTAAAGTGCTCTCATGATTGCAGCACCAGATTAAAAAAGGGTTTGTAATCACAGGTTGGAGATGAGTTGGATGAAGGACAGCACAGCACAGGGTTGAGAAGAATATGATCAAATATGTTGCTGTAAATAAAGTTACACAAGTCAAGACTGAAGAGGTGCAGATGAGCAGGTGATCGAGGCTTTTCAAAGGAGGTACCAGGTAAAGTGGCTTGCTGTAATGGTGACTGAGAAACAAGACTAAATGGAGTAGTGCAAAATAGCTCTGCCCAGAGTGCTCTGAGAGAGAGTTCACATGATCGGGAGGACTCTGTCCCAATTTAGGCACTCTTTCCTGCTTGGCTGAGGTTTGTGCTAACTTAATCCAGAATTTTCCTTCTAACACTGCCACATTATTAGAATCTCTGAAAATAGGATTAATAGGAAAAGTTTCTGTGAATGTGTGTTTGTAACTGACCATGTTAAGAAAGAACTTGTTGGTCCCTTGTACCCTGAACTTTGGCTCAAGATCATTGTTCTACCTGGAAAGAAGGGAAAGGAAAAGTGGTGAAATGGAGACCTCTTGTTTTTGTTCAACAGATGATATGTATTACTGTGATTAATTGTACTAGTTGAAGGCTGGGCTTCTTTGATGAGTTGAGATTGGTTAGTGGAGATCAGAGGCCAGCTATTTCCAGGTTGGGGTCTGAGGAAGAAGGGAATTAGATGCTTTTGTGTGTGTTGATTATATTATTTTTGATATTCTTGAGGTCCAAAATAATGGAAGAAAAATGTCTCAAATTGTGGAGGATGGCTGGTAGTACCATTGTTAGACATTTCCAGAAGATGATGAAGTATTCAATTGTCAAACTAAGGGAAGAATCCAACATCACACAAGTTAGATTCCCACCTGTATGACAGAACATTCTCCCTCTACCAGGTAACTGCACGCCTTCCCCAAATTTGGTCTGGTGGCCCCCCAACCATTGATGCTGATTTTAAAAGCACGCAAGAGGCAGAGGGATCACATCCTTCTGGTTCTGCTGATGGAGTTCCATCTGTGGAAAATCTTCACTGGATTTAACTTATCTACCATATATACTGCTACTACTATAGTGCCATTTGGAAGACATTATGAGAATATTTAGATCCATCAAAATAATGGAACATTTTTCAAGTTTAGAGATGAAACCCCTCATCTCTTTTTCACCTGTGTTCCAAAATTTTGTTCATAGGAAGCAATTTTCTTTTGTCTCAATGAAATGCTGTATGCTAAACTGTGGAATTAGTACTGGTGGAAAATATTTTTGAATGCATTTCTATGAACTATTTTCCACTGGATTATAATTATTCATTCATTTTTGGAATTCTTTGTGCTCGAGAAAACAGTTCTATACATCCTATAAAGTTGCAAGTCTAGAAGTTAAGACTATGAGAGATTTAGTCTGATGCATTTGTTAGATAAGTAGTATATATAAAGATCCTCTCCCCAGTGCACCCCTTAATTTAATCTTCAGTGCAACTTTATTTGCAGAAGACATTAACACATGCATCCTGCTGTCATTGGAATAAAGAAGTTATGCGACAGAATTCTTAATACACATGGGCAAATTATTACAAAGGGACATGCAATTAATTCTAAATCTAAAAATAAACTCAATATTACATCTTGGCTTACTTTTTAAAGACGTATACCTGAGTAAACTCTGGAAATGAACTGTTCTCATTTCATGTTAATGGAATAAAACAGAAACTTAGAAACTGACACATTTCTGCAAAAGGATCTGTATTCTTCTGAGTCTTTGCTCTGGCTATGTTTTACTTTTGTATTTTTCCCATTCTGATATTTTGCCAAACCCATTCCTACATATTATGGAAATAAGGCCATACTTGTGAACCGCAGGATTTGAGGTTTCTCTTCCTGTAAGTGGAACAAAAATGGCTAAGGCCAAGATTAGGTGCACCTGAGAAAAATATGCCCATGGCTGTTACAGACACTATGGTTAACTCTTGGAA